CAGGTAGAGTCTATGAGCGGAGGAATCATCTAACGTCAAGTGAACCCAATGCTCACTTTCATTCAATTTTACACAAAATTAAATCTGTGGGCTGCCGAATATATTTGGATTATTTTAGATGTATATATAAAAACAAATTCTGAAGGAGAATATTATGACACCGGGCAAGATATTTTCTACGTTATCAATGATTATTTTTGAAGCACCGTGTAAGAGGCTATGACTGGAAAAATATTGTGAAAGAAATTACATGTAAATTTAAAAACGACCCTGACGGCCGTAAATATAATAAATCTCATGCAAGCACAACCACTCAACTCACGCATTACTGATATTATGCTGTAAAATGGTCTCTTTACCCATGTTTCATTATTGTTTTACTGCGATTGCACTAGTTATCTAGAAGCATGGTGTTGCTGGAGAATTACTTAGATTGTTTTATTTATTTATTCTTTATTGCAATTATCTTAAGCAAGGATTACAAAGGGCGAACTTAGTGCCTTTTGGCATTCTCTCCCAGTCAACCCGGGGCATGGTGAGAAATCGTGGTAGGTGCAATAATTATATTAATTATTTATATATAAAATATACAATATATACACATACAATAAATCAATAAATACATACATTGTTGTACTTAGCCATGAAATATATTCATTTTTGTAGTAAGTATATATTTTACCATCAAATTTTAAAGCGCCTTAATTTTAAAGTGGCTTCAAATAATACACTTTCATTACAAACGGATTTTTATAGAGCATGTGGAGTTTTGGATAATTTACAAGATGATACGATAATCTAGACGCCGATATAACCATCATAATGTATCTAACTCTTGTTCGGTCGCTGCAGATGTGTGGAAAATTCTGATCTCTTGGTGTCGGCAAGTCAGGTACTTGGGTTTTTCTATCTCTCTTTATAATATAAATACTCATAATGCTTCTGTTTCCAGAATGGACCCGATAATGCGAAGTCAAACTATTTATTTCTACTATAGCGTTAATACCATCTCCTCAAATTCCATCGTTTACTTTGTCCTCAGTACAGATGGCAGACATTAATAAACCTGCTCTGGCAACAAAATCATTGGCTGTTGGTTGTGATAATGTGGGCAGAGTAATGATAATCATGATTTTAGACCATCTTCCATTAATTTCTTTCTCAACTCTGGACAGTATCCCTCTTTGTGGACAAGAACTTTTGTCAGACCTCTTCCTAAAGTCTTCAATCCAATACTTCCCAGTCTTCTTCGTCCGATCTCTATTCTTCCCTATCTATCAAAAGCTGGAAGCCTGTATACACAAGTAACTTTTCAAGGTCTATGATCATAACCTACTGAGTATGTTCGAGTCTGGGTTCCGCTTGGACAAAAAACACCACTACCGCTTTAATTAAAATAACTGATGACAGGTCAATGGAAGGTAAAAAGGTAAAAAGTTTTGGTATTAATTGACTTTCAAATGCTTTTAACACAGTGGACCACCACATTCTTCTCTTTATCCTTGCCCATATAAAGTTTATACCTACAGCCATCAAGTGTTTCTCATCATATCTTCGCAGCTTTCGGCAATCAGACCACGTAGGACAGCAGTTATCTGGTTGGAATGACCTGAATGCTAGGCTGCTTCAAGGCGATATGCTGTCTCCTCTAATATTTTCTCTTTTATTGATTCAGTAACTGATTTATATTAATTTGCCGTATCATCTCCATCCACCATGTGGTTTAAACTTAACCACAATATAAAAGTAAGATTGGTCTCTTAGGTATTGGCTTACAATTAAACTTTTAAAATGCCAAGTCATTATTCTTGGCAGTACGAAAATGTTACCTAAAATGGACTTATAAAAAAATGTTCATCTTCCTTATTGTGATTTATTTTCATTTTCAAAATTATATTTCGGTTTGTGTTTTGCACCTACGTCAAATTTCCACTATTCCCAGGACTACTGGACGCGAATGCTTATTAGCATTAAGTTGCTTTTTGTTTGGCCTTATGTTGAGATGTAAACAATTCTTTTGTAAACAAAATAAATAAATAATTATGTGGAGCTTTTATGTAAAGGGTGAGCTTCCGCTTACCTTTCGTTTCAAGTTACATGTGTGAGATGTTCATGTTAAAGACTAAATACAGGAAATCATTGAATGCTTTATCGGAATTAAGCTTGAAATTGAGTAAAATTGCTACAAGAATCAACTCGACTTATTTGTCGAGAAACTTCGGTTTACGTGTATTAATTAATGATCAAATCTAGGCGTTAGATCATATAATTCAGAATAACTATTTTCTACCGTAGCTCTACTCAGCGGAAGCACCAGTTGGTGGGCCATTATTCTGCGCTGAGGGCGCATCATCTTTTCAATATGGCGCCCGAACAATGGCTGCCTTCCTGGCCGGACTTCCGGTCGCCGTAACGAGCAGACCCTATCTTAGGGTTTTCTTTACAACGTTATCTAATGTCGGTATACAATAATTTTAAGCGCGTTTCATAAATTAGCGTTAAATACTTTTGCACACTGAAATACAGTTACATATTAGCCTTATTTTCGTCAAAGCAGATAATTTTAGAATAATGTATTTCATTTAAGTGAACTTCAACCATTTTTACAAATTACACATGTATTCATTTATTTCCAGAAATTTCGGTGGTGATTAAGCGATTGTATGATCATGATTTTAACTGAATCAAAGAAAAATAACATTCTCCGAAAAAGCGTTAAATTTAGCGTTTCAAAGTGTTATCGAGTGATTCCAAAAATAAAAAAATTAAAATAATGAATTTTGAACTATCTCGGTTGTTAAAAGAACTTTAATTTACCGCCTTATATTAAAAAGTATGTGTCTTATCTTTGTCCGATAAAAGTGAAGAAAATACAGTAAAACTGTTTCCCATCGTTTCCCTGTATTACTACTTGATGCGTACTCTAAAACGCAATGAGTTAAAGAGATAGTCTTATAGTTTTTCAGGGAGAAGCAGCTTACTGCCTCAGGCAGCCAGTAAGCTGTGTGCGTCATAAAATAAGTTCGTAGCCTACAAAATAGCGCGATTAGCGCACTCACGTCATTAATTAAGTTGACTTAGTCGCCCCGCTCTAGCCCACCCCTCCGACCCACCTGCTATATTAATAAAATAAAATGGACTTCCTCGTTTTGTTTACGGAGGTAATTCTCCAGTATTCAAAGATGAAACGAAAGGAATAATTAGCCGGCTTCAAATTAAAGTTCATTCGCGTATATTAATCACTCGCCTGTTTTCTTTGTTCTGCTTTTGATAATTTCTTCTTCTTTATAAGACAGCGTTGTGCCATTGTTAATTATATTTTTGTGTGATTTCAGCGTTCATAAAAATGTAATGAGCGGCATAACGATATACAAGTGTTATATAAAACGATTTCACGGATTTTATCGCATTTATTTTAATTTTAATTCCCGATGTTATGAACACACAGCGTTCATGGTCACCACAGAACACAAAAACCCGAAAAAGACGGTATCCTTTTATATATGAGCTCTACAGTTTTATAACAGGGTGGGCAGCGATAACGACGCGTGACAGATAAGCCAATCTACCATATGTCGCCGTATTCTAGCTAACTAAGATTATAGCGGAATTTTGGAAAATATGTACAAACAAATGGCAAACAAGATTTTTAAGAGCAAAATTTACACAATACGGGTTTGAAAGGTATAAAAAAGAAGAGAGAAAGTTCAAATTGTAAGCGTATGTAGCTCATAAAAATGTCGCTGTTAGGAAGAACTGGGTCATGAATATTCCACGCCAGTGTATTTATATAAATGTTTTTAAAATGAAATTTAGATTTCGTTGTGAGACCGTCACGAGAGCCCGTGGCAACAAATTCCAAGGGAAAAGTAACAAACTAGACGTAAGTGCGGCGCACTTGAAAACCTAACGAGTGCAGTCGAGGGGCGAGTCAAGTGTTAGAGGCGAGCTAACTAGCGCCAACCGTAACGGCGTGCACCAATCGAAGTGATTTTGTAGCACGTACATAAGTAAACAGAAATGCGGAGCTTGAGGTAATTTTCTCAATCTGATTATTTATTCTATTTATTTGATCAGTTAAGGATATTAATAGCGCAAACGTGAAAACTTGCGTTATAACATTGCCGCTTAAAAATTTCATTTTACAAATGAACATCAGTACTAAATGAAGTGAGGTATTTCTTACAGTTATGTTAGGAAAACTAATTCCTTAAATAATTGTTATTTAAAAAAGAATTTTCTACTTGTTTTCCATTAAAATAGTCACAAGGACAATGAGTACTGGGATATAAATATATGGCGCAGTACAGGATAGGGGTAGATTCCCTTGTTTGCCGGGGAAACAAAAAATAGCCTCCAGTAGTTTGTTCATTTGTGAAAGCATTGTTTACAATCGGAATCAGGGACGATGGAGTTTAAAGTTTTTTCAATTAATCGTGGTGTACTTTTGTTTGCGATTTATTATATTTCATATTTCATATCATTACGTTTATTATATTTCATAATAAACGTAATTGCTTGTACAGCGTCGATGCAGCTCTCGTGTGTTATTGTGTGTTCTTCTTTTTTATTGTTCTTATTTGCATAAGACAATAAATGCACTTCGTCAGCAATCTCAGAAGAACTCAGAGAAACTTAAACTAAAGTTTTGTTATTGTGTTTATTTTATGATTGTTTATACTTTTAAGAACGGAATTAATCGAAGTGTTCGATTCCTAAAAGTTAAGAAGATTGCCGTACAACAACACACAACAAACTTACCGTTATATTCGTTTTGATCCGGAGATTCTCCTTTGTCACGTCGCCCCAGTGTCTCTTTCCATATGTTATACGGCTCTCTATAATCTTCGTCGACTATGGCTGGGCTGTGGGTAAAATTAAGTTATAAATAATGTTATTTATATTTCGTTTACTTCATTGGTAGAATTAACATAGTTAAATTGTATAAAACTGCAAAAACATAAAAAAAATTGTACAAAAACTATATATGAATATGATTACCGTAGCATATGTATTGGTGGGCAATTGCCTAATGCCAAAGCGAGCCTCGGCGTGCGTCGATTATTCCTTGCATTATTATTTCCATTTCTCAGTGAGGGACAGAACGTTTTCTTTAGTAAATTAGGGATCCTCCTGCGGACGCGTTTCGTGAGCACAACTGCGACTGCAGCCACGAAAGCGCTCCCTCCCATTAAAGTACCACAGGCTAATCCAACAGGCAGCTTCAGGGAAGGATTTTTTTTCTTATTCGACGATGGAGAGAAATCGATGTTATAATACTCCTCTAGGAATTCTACCGAGGAGTTAACCACCGTGGGAACTGTTGACAAAGTGTTAAAGTTATTCAACGCTTTCTGTTTATCCATAAACCAATTTAGCGAGGGAACAAATGTTTCAATTTCTAGGCAAATACACATACAATTAAGAACAGCATTTATGATTTATCTCGTAATTTAAAAGAAATTAAAAGTACCTAAGCTTGGGGATCATACTGTGCGCGTACACAAAAGTTAATTAAGATATAAGAAAGTAAATGCCATATGAGATTGAGACAAAATAAAGGAAATGGATAGGTGTCTAGCGCAAGTCTAATTGTCGCCGAAAAATGGATCATGAATTTGTTGAGAGTTAGATTGTTTTGTATCTCTATATGTTAGGGCACAAACCGAAATTAATGAGACTTAGCCTCAATTTCTGTAACTCTGTTGATTAGATATTTACCTATTTTTTAAAGTTTTTTTTATAGTGCTAATCTCTGCACTTAAGATTGAACATTAAAACATGGAGAAAAAGTACGAAAAGATTGTCGCCGCTGTGGGAATCGAACCCATGTCTTCGCGGCCTGACGCTGTAGCCACTGAGCTAAACGGCTGATAGCCACAGCGACGAAAATCTTAACGCCTTCTTTCTACATTGTTATTTAGCATTTGAAGCAATGCTTTGCGCATCTATTGTTATATCCTTTCTTTGTTTTAATAGATATTTACCTTTTTGAATGAAAAATATTTAGTCACATAATTATTTTTCATCATTTTTTCAAAGTAACGGCGAACAGTTGCCTCACAAGTTTGTATAGCGTACATGTGACCTTACGAATTTTTCTATAGATATTGAATACCTAGTTTCCGCTAGATTCTTGCACTTAGCAAGTATTATTTTTTATTTATATTCACTTGCATTTAGAAAGTATTATTTACGAAACTAGCGGAAGAATTAAAAAGCTGAAACATTTTAATTCTTAGAAATATCAGCGGCGTTGAATCTCGTAGACACTTATCTACATATATGTTTTCTTAACTAACTTGCTACAGAAATGTCTATGTATAAATTACAGTGAACGATAATCTGTTGTCGCTATGTTAAAGTAGTAAAACTAGATCTAAACCTAACACGAGGCAGGAGTATGGCTAAGTGCCAGCATGATGGTATGTAGTTGCCAAGAGTCTGTTAATTTCGTGCTAATTTTTAATCGCGTAAAGGCACCTTACTAAATAGACCGACTTGTCGAATTCTATAAATTGTTTGAGTACAAAAATGCGCTCAATTAAAGACGAATAAAGGAACAGAGAATAAGAATAACGCGAATTAATTATTTGTCAGATTCGAAGTTGGGAAACTTTTTTCTTCCTTTTAATTTAAATTTCCATTAGAGCATACTAATTTTATATTCTGACTATATTATGCTATATAAAATATGCTTGAATATAAACTGGTACTAAAGTTTATATTCAAGCATATTTTACTTTAAATACATCTTGGTTTCGATGATATCTTGATTAAAGTTCATTAAATTTATAAAGTACCTAATGAATTTAAGTACATAGAAATCATTTAACTCAAAAAGACACGTGTATTTAAGTTTAACGATGATACACATATGAACAAGATAAACAAGGACAACGAGAACAAAGGATTTATAAGATATTGTTAAAAGCCTAAACACAAAAAGCGTATCATTAAGCGTAACAATGTGTATGTATCATTATTACGATAAGATAAATACAACTTAAATTTGTCAAAGGGTTTTGTAACGTTCACAAAACCATATATGAACTTCCTTGATTAGGGTTGGTGAAGATCAATTAAAGAATAACATTCGGCCATTAGCGCTTTTTTGATGCGAGTTAATATCAATATGTAAAAGATTTAAAAAAAGCGTGTGTTTACTTATGTACACGCTTTAGAAGTAATACTTTTTTAGAGTAAAAAGATAAAAATCTTTTCAAAAATTTTATCTGTTTGTAGAAAAAAAGACACTAACAATAGAAAAAAGGTATGTAATACATTGAAAGTTTTTTTATAACGCATTATCTAGTTAAATATAGTTATTTAAATATCACAAAATAAATATCGTGAATACATGTTGGCGCTGGCAATACTGTTTACCGGATATGACGTTATCTACTCGAGCTAAGGGACACATGGGCGCATAGAGCAGCGGTCACTTGGATTTCGGCCGCGTTCCTGGACGGTGATATAACACCACTAGTGCTGCTTGTCGTAATAATAGTTGTTAATATTCAAGTTCCGTAATTGTTAAAATATTAGGATCAGGATAAAATTGTTAGAATTCTTATATACAGTTGTCACTTCTCACGGAAACATACGTAGATTTCTAGCTAACTTCATGGTGTCGGTTTTTGGTGATGGTGTGCGCGCATCGTAAAAATTTACTGTCATTATTTTTCCAAAACTCCCTAAAAAATAACTTCAAAAACTTAAGAAGAAATAATAGAAAATCTTAGCGTTCGATTATTATTAATGTACTGGTCTGTAAAAATATATGTTTTATGTGAGATTCGTGTAGTTCACGTAAGTACTTTTACTTTCAAATTTAAATAAGAATCGACTCGTACATCGAACACGAAACAATTTGAATATAAAAAAAATATCGTTCTATTATTCGTTTCTCGTTATCTCTGACACGTGTGAATGGCTTATTTTATTAAATTTCAATATCTGTCTCGCTACCTGAGAATGATCGGTACTTAGTATGTTATGTAATTGATTGCAATCAATCGATTACCTTTTAATTGACATTATATAGATAAGATATTAAATAATATTAAGTTTGTCTAAAGCCAAGCTGTGATAGCTCTGTGTCCGGGCGCTCGCATTTAATTCAATATACCTACACTAGCCACCTGAGTTTAAACCCCGGTGCCATTTTAAGTGCTGAATTGTCACGTGCTGGAAAACATCGTGAGTGATAGTAATAGATTTAAGTCTATTAAGAAGTAAGTCTTGATTGCACTTGACTAGACCATCGGTGAAAAGATTTCTGTTTCAAAGGAGTTATTTATTAATAAAGAATGTTAAAGGGGCCCTAGAGATAAAAAATGGAAGTGCTTGTGCTATTTAAATATTAGTAAAAATGTTTTCTTAGTAAAGTAGAAAAGTCGCTTTGAATATCAATAATTAACTGTTTGCTTACTAGAGTCCGGGGCGCACCTCATGCGGCAAAATGAAAGTTTGACTATTTAGTACGTAGCACTGACGAAATATCTATCATTAAGTTCAATACAACTTCACAACTTAAAAGCATTAAAAATACTTTCGGAACGGCTTCCTCGATAAGGTAGAGGGCCTGCCCGGTAGGATGTTCAGAGTTTGATTTTTGACCCAGGGTACGTAAATCTCTATAGACGTACACGTACATAAGCAAACACATACGCACACACTCTTCCTATGAAAAATACTTTTATTTGGAACAGTTACCTTTGGTTCATAATCAAACTCACGCTCTACGACCTCGAAGTCTACCTAGTAATTATGTCCATCCGGTCATTAATATCAACACACCAAGTTGTAACTAAAGAAGAGGAATCATTCAAACGTAAGGAAATGCGAATAACTTCTCACAACTCGGGAAATAGTCCCTTAAACTAAACAATACTGCTATGTGCCGCCGTTTTCAGTGAAAATAGGATGGGAATGGAAAAAATATTCAAAACTCTATGTGGTAAAATGGGAAAGCTTACCACTTTGAGCTTTTTGTGGGGTCTTTGCCTTTCCACGTACTCCTGTGTAAATATTTTGTGAAAAGGCAAAAAGAGAATGTATTCATGTATAATTTAAAGTACCTGTGAACTGTTGACAGAATTTGCCTTTCAAAAAATTGTGTCCGAATAGCAGTAAATCCCCTTGTAGGAAACAAAATATCCGTACTTATTAAAAACCTGTTCAATTTATTCCATAGTTTTATAAAGTTCAAACGTTGAGGGATTAGCTTCTTATATGGTAGCATACTTTCTTGTACTTGTACGTGTAGCTTGTTTGGATTTTAATCATATTATGTAGAAACCTACACGTCACAGAGACTTGCACTGACTTTCATGAACTTCTGCTCTGATTAATGACTTCCCTAATATGACGCAGCAATCGATTGCCGCAGGGATAAAAATAGCGAAAAATATGTAATTAGGATTGGCAGCCGGCACTAATGAAGTTGTTAATTTAAAGTGCTGGCTTATCATGTGTTCAACGGTAAAGGAAATTTTCGTGAGGAAAGCAGCACATTCACGAAATAACAAAAAAAATATTTCGAAGATATGTGCAGTCCGCAGTGAGGTCGCGTGGCGGACTGTGCCCTAATACCCTCTGTACAGAGGAATACTTTGCCCAGCAGTGGGATATAGGTAGGTTACCTTTTAATTCAATATACCTAGGAATCGAATTTTAATTTAAATGTATTAAATTATTGACAGTAATTTGGTATATTTTTCTTCTCCCCTTTCTCAGTGTTAAATTTAACTATGAAGAGTATCACACTCCTTTATGTTGACAAGAAATATTTTAAGAAAGGGGTACCTACAAAGTGCTTACATATTGGCTTTAATACGAATACACCAATACATAATTTATTTGTTTACCTATACAAAGAGGTAAACAAATAAATTATTTATACTTCAAATAATAACGTCCCATACGTTTGCGGCTTATATTAAACAATTAATGTTATATAAATTTTACAATTAGTTTGAAATAAACGGCATCTTTTAAATTAATGTTCAATTAAAAACTGATCTCAGGAGGACAGCATGAAATTAATCTTCCACGGTTGTGATTGGAAGTACTAAATAATAGCACCACAGTATAAGCGATGGAAACAACAAAAATAAACCTTCCAACCGTTTTGAAATTACATGTCGTTTTAAAAATGTTCTATTTAAAGTGAAACATTTTCTTTCGATGGCGTAATAATTTTAATAGTGGTTTTAAAACTAGACATTTTAGTAGTCATTTTTCTGTATTTGTATTTTTCCATCGATTTTACCGGAAATGCATTCAGGTACATGGAGATTACGTCTATCATTAATTTACCCGAATACGGGGCCAGAGCTATTGAATACATTACAAAAACACAGTGCACAATCATTCACGTTTCATTGCTGGGGTAACATACGAAACGATAGATTTTATTTGGTTATATGTTCATGTCGATTTTTGGGCTTTATTGTCATGATTTTGAATTCGTAGAGTTTAAGCTTTTCATGTTTATTAAACATGAAACAGCTTAAACTCCACGAATAAGTCTACGAGTTTTTTAAAATTTTGTTAAAAAATATTTTATATAAGCTATTTAAATATTATTAAGCTACGCTTTAATCTTTGAACTAAACAAAATATAGTCAAAATTTCGTGCATCTTAGACGTTCTTATCTAATATTATTATATTTATTATTATTATTATTATTATCCCCCATAATTATTATTATTATCTTATCTAATACTGACAGAGTGCTAAAGGGTGAGAGATTAGAATAGAATCGAATGATTTCGTTCTTCACAAAATATTGTTTTAAGTTAACACCAAACTATATTTATAGTATGGTGTTAATTATTCCGAATGAGTTCTTTAAGGGGTAGTACCTGGATGACCCAGCTTTGCCCGGTTCTTTTTCTCACAAAAGACGGAAATTAAAAAAAGGGGAAAAAAATTAAAAAATAATCTGTTGTGTGTTGTCTAATATTTGTCTATATAATTAACATTTATTTGGACAGTAGTATAATGCTGTAGAAAATATTGAGGAGGCAGGTTTGTGGTGTACGCCAATGGAAAACGACGAAATGTAGTTGGAATTCTGGTACATTTAACTGCAAGGCGGCTTGCGAACGTTTTTTTTAAATAAAATGAGTGAATTAACTACATTTAATAAGACATATTTCCCATCTTGCTTGAATAGGTAGCGCGTTATGGCGTACGCCGAACACAATTGGAGAGGGAAATGATCCAAATCCAAGATTTTCGCTAATTACGAGTCCTTCAGTTTCGCGGCTATCGATTTGTTACTAAAGACACAATACGTTAAAGCTGCGGCTCAATTAAAGAAAGATAAAATTTGTTAAATAGCTCGATGCCTGCGGTTGATCTGTGTAGATAAAAACTGATGAGAAGTAATGGATCTAGTTAGCGTACCGCGCCGTGCTTTTCCCATTCGGATTCTTCAGTTTTTCTCCACGGAAAAATCGGACTACTTACTTTTCTTTTATACAATTCTCTTGTTTAAGATTTTAATCCAATAACGATTTTCCGGAATCTGATTGACAAAACAAATGTCGTAATTCAGCAAACTTCCTTCGTCACGTGCACATTGCACGTTCCTTTCTTCGCACAATTAAGTAAATAAATAGAATTTCGAATTAACAACTCGGAGTCAAAGACGACTTATAATACAGAATGATTCTATTTATCCTTTTCCTTATTCAGGAAAATTGTATTGTTTATTTTGTTACGAACCTCCTTGAATCGGATTATTGTGAATACTTTGAGGCAAAATGTGTTTTCTATTTTCTTCAATAAATTATTTTCGTTCCATTAAAAATTAATCCGCTCACGGGAGAACGAAACCATTTCCTTTAGCTACCAATTGTTTACTAATCTTGCATGAACAACCTCTGATTTCTATCAAGTAGTCATTTGCTGTCAAATAGTCTGCTTTTTATGGGCGAGATGTTTCAGTTCGATTGAATAAGTGTGTGATGGTACTGGAAACATACTGCGATCAAAATGCTCACTCCAACATCTGTCTAAAGTTGTTGAAATAGTTTAAAACAGAGTTTGCGAGTGATTAGTTCCAGGAAACTTACCAGACTTGAAGGTGACTTCGCTGATTAGAATCCATTCATGTTGAAACTTGAGCTTCATCATGATGTGTTTGGCAGTCCTGTTTTGCAGATCGATGTGCACGTTCCGGGCATGCTCGGAAACTCTGTCTTGTTTCGGTTCATATGATACGTAATCTTCTTGCCAGCGCTCGCCTTCTAGAGAGAAATATACTTCGGCCACCTTGAAGAGCTGGGAAAGAATAAAGTTGTGTAGTTCGTTTTGGACACGCTATAGTTTCTACATAAGAAATAATATTATGATTGAAAATCAAATAAGCATATGAACGTATCATGGTGTTCACTATACCGCAGAAATCCGATCGCTTTTCGGTATACTAGCTAAATCAAAAGGAAAATAGCCGTAGAAATAATGGTTTCTACTTTCCATTGGTACTTTTAGGACGTTTTTAGCACTGAACAAGATTCATAAGTTACCTAACAAATGAGACAATATACTGAAAACTAAAAATAATTTGACTCATTTCACGATTTTGTTATAGCAAACTCGGTTCAGAGCTACTCCGAAAATAAAAACTCGACGAAATGCAACATGCGGTTGCCCGCAGTGGTAACAGTCTAGTGTGTTATGGTCGCTGCACTCCGTAAAGGCTACACGTAGCGAATTCTTAAGTCAATATGTTTCGGTACACCTCTCATGGTCTAATTTTTATTCGAAGCCACAAAAACTTTATATTCTAATTTAATACTATTTATATATCAAGGAAAGTTAATTATCAGTGAAAAAATAGTGAAAAACATGGCATTTATGAAGACTCATATTACCCTTTAATTTGTCCTTAAGTTGAGAGAACGCGAAGTCTAAAATAGCGAAAAATGAATGGATTCATACCTGGACGTCCTTGGTGAACATGTTGTTAGTGTGAATGTCCACAAAATGCAGTAGCCTGGGATCGGAAAAGTTGAAAGTCAAAACTACTTCGTTGTTCATTAGCATAGTTTTGTTCCATCCAACCCATCGAGAACCTGTAAATTGTCGCTGTCTTAGTAATGCATCTATGACAATTAATGGCGCAGTTAAAATCTTCAAATCCATTACCTGATGTATCATAAGGGTCAGCTAGTTCAAAGTCGTCGGGGCCACTTAGCGAATCGGTTATCTGCCCCAGTCCGTTCAACAGTCGTTGGTCACGCATGATGCCGTCGTAGGCCAGATCCTCGAAACGTGCTCCGCCAGACATTGCCTGCATATCTCCGCCCTTAGGCGCAGAGTACGCAACAATAGCCTCTGTAGAAACACAGTGCTCGTGAATACACCGCCAAGCGGCGGATTTCAATCGCAAAGCAAAAGAACTTGTACAAATAATAATCGCCACAGCAGCTCGCATCGCATCGGTCCTGGGACATCGCCAGCTTAGGACAAAACTTTATCTCTGTTATACCTACGTTTCCAGAGGCAACCGTAGAGTTCCACCCGCATGCATGAAGTCCTGGGATGGTCTGCGTATGGGAAAAATCGTACTTTGGACGCAACAAACGGCGCTTCCAGGGTTGACTTGTTAGGTGTGTACGTATTGACATTTCCAGGAATCAACTGAAATATTATTACATTATTAGTAATTGCAATTTATAGGACAGTCTAGTCATTTATGGAAGGAGAAAGGGTAGTCGGAGAATGAGCTTACATGTTTGGTGTAATTTATGCAGAATATGCTTACAATGTTTTGAGGTTGTGTGCATACAGGTTAGTAACGCGGTACTAACTTTCATGCACCAACCATAATATCTATTGAAAGTATGATGTTTCTATCGAGTTGTTTTGAGGGGCCTCCCGTTTTATATTAAATAAAATATACTTTGTTCCCTGTTACGGACTAATAAAACCCACTGACGTTTCAAGTTGTAATTATCTACTGCACGATCGTATCGTTCGAGTAGCGCCTCAGGTTTCGTTGCGCAATGGGACTAATTTCCAGTAAGACGAGCGCCGTCTTTGCAAGCTGATCTCATAAACTCTGTAATCTATGTATTAACGTACATACAATCACGGCTATTTCGCGGAACGCATGTTTTCGTTTATCTGGAAGGGGAAGATTTTGGTCATTTATTTGGTGTTACGCATTGGGTAATCCACGGTAATACCACCGACCTAAGTTTAAATTATACTACTTATACTATTTTATCAGAGTAAGTATTGTTGTGTAGAACCCACTCTGGGCCGGCCTGTGGTGTAAGGCCGGCCTGAGAGTGCTGTACTGAGTGGGTTCATTGAGCCCACTATGGATGCGTGCTGGTGGGAGACAGTTCAAGAGTGGTAGAGGAGAAGCCACTCCCCCTGTCTTCTGCTACCGAGGAGAAGTGCCGGTATTGCATTTGGCCGCTCTCCCTATTCTCTGCGACTTGGTGGGGCTCCATTGCTGATGCAGTGGTGGTGGGGCCATGAGGGGAGAGGAGTATCGGTATTATGATGCATTTCTCCGCTTTCCTTAATACGACCCAAACATCGTGAGTGGCGGAGCCACAGATTAGGACCACCGCTGGGGGATGGGAGGCTTGCTTTTTATTAGCACTAGTCAGGGAACTCAGGAGAATTAGTTAGCTGTGAAAAAAGGGGCCGAGTATGAAGGCGCGCTGAATGTTCGTGCGCACCTTACCTGGGGGAAAGGAGAATTGCTCCCCAAGAAGGGGCTGCCGATTCGGTTAGCGCTGGAAGGATCGCGGAAGTGTGCGAAAGCGTTCCCATGGCCTTGCCGATATGCACCGAGGTGGAAAATCGTGGGGTTTTAGTCGGTGTGAGTCCGACATAATCGCGAGGGCGGTTATGCGTAGGCATTTCTCCACGTAAACAAAAAAAAAAACTTGAAAACCTCATTATTTAAAGACCGAAAGAAAAACTGAGCTCTTGACATTTTTTTATGGTTGTCATGCATTCAGCAACTCATCATACTTGTATTTTATGCATTATATGAGTGTAAATATGAAAAGTATAATATAACTGGATTTCTCTTCCCTCGAGGAACTTAAATAAACATAAGATAGGTTAAATTGCAATAAAAGCATTTGGCATCTTGATGAATTAGTTTTGAACTGGTTGATTGTCACAATGTATCTCAAACGCTAATGTAAATTCAGTACGATTGATGTGGTGAAGGTAATTTTATATTGAATGCAAAGCACTGTCATTCAAAGTTTAAATTATAAATAATTAAAATTTTTATCCATGATGAATTAATTGAAAAATGACTGAAAAGTTGATCCAAGTAAAATACACCTTTGAAATAAGTTAGATGCAGGGCAGGCAGTCATCCAGTCAAATCCTTAGTGGTTTTATTTTTTAATACGTTTAGTTTTATCGTTATTGTATTGCCTTGTGTAAATCGATATTCATATATTTCTCTTCCAATAAGTCAGCGCAATTAATTCCCTTTATATGGTTGCTCCCAATATTGTAGTTGTAAGTTATTATAAGCGTTTAAACTTTGGCTTTGGCTAAATGAATGTAACAGCTGACAAGATAATCCTGTAACTTATGACAGCAAAAAAAGCGCTTTTATATTTAAAAATTTCCTGCCATTTTCAATTTGGCTAGGCGTGCAGAAAACAGAGAGCTAAGTGTTTTGCGATTACGAGAAAAAAAATCACGTACGTTAAATTTCACGTTGTGTTCTTTGATCAACTTTGCACGTTATTGAATAGAATGTTTTAAACAAGAAGGAGGTTTTCCACTCGGTTGTATGTTTTTTATGTTACCTCCGAACTTCGTCATTTATGAGCCGGTTTTAAAAATTCTTATTGCGTTGGGTTCGGTTTTAAATTTCATTAGTATTATATGTTATTTGTATAGTGAGTGAGGTATCTGAAGAAGTTTTGTTTTTTATCCCAATTTTTTATTTATTTATGCTGTGATGAAATTCGACTCTACTTACTCGACTCCCATTAAAATCCTTGTATTTGGACCAACGGTTGAGGCTGTCACGCCAATATTCCACTTGGTAGCTCTCCACAAATTCCACTCCTACAGAGTTGGCGAATCGGCCTTGGGTCTCCGTGGCAGTGATCAGGTACTCGTCATGTAGGTCTATCTCCAGATATTGGCGGCTGTTAGGTTTAATCAAACCATTGGGGCACCAGGCGCCGCCGCGAATTTCAGTACGAATCCTAGTTTTAAAAATAAAATTTAATATTTACTTTTCCATTTAAAGGAAAATGGAACTAGTAATATTATATATTTAATATATTTAAGTTGCCATAATTTCAATGAAAACGATTATGAATATTTAGAGTTAAATTAACGCAGACTATTCACATACTATTCATATGGCTGGCATTTGAGCAAAAGATTTTGCTTATTGCGCTCTTCTTGTATCTTGTTATCTTTGGATAATCAAGAGCCGAAAGGCTTTTGTAAGATCGCAATCACTCTGGATTCATATGAAATTAAATTTTCTGTTTCTGAATTTCTCAAATGAGTGTTGAGATTGCGCTCTATTGTCTCATATTCAGCTTATGCGGGTTTAGGGACCTGATGTGGAACCGCGTGTTAATTGTTTGAACTGAATATCAGTTCAATGTTTGGCGGTTTCACATTTATATACATAAACCCAGTTAAAAGTTGTCTGTTCTTTGGTGTGAACTTTTTCATTTCGTTATTAAAGGAATATCCCAGACATGTTCATAGTGAAACTGGAAAAAAAACGTATATACAGATGTAAAACTTACCTTGAGCTGAGCGGGGACACGCTCTGGTCATAACTGGAACTGGCCGACAGGGATTCATTGGAAATCTTCCCATTCTGCATGCCCAACGGTACTTCGCATTTTCCAACTTCAGCTGTTGACAAATGATATAACGTTAATTCAGCGTTCACAAAGGAATATCTAAAACGGCGTTTAGAACTGTACAAATAAGAGTCGTGTAACTGATATTTCTAACTCAATGCGAAAAAGTCCCAAGAACTGATAGTATACAATAAGGGGAAAATACTTAGAAGCTAAACTAAGAAGCTTTAACTGTTGTTATTAACGTCGGTCTTTTATAGGAGATCAAAAGTAAAATAAAATAAAATGGAAAAGTATTGGTACGAGATCGGAAATACTCCTTCCGAGCCTTATTTCTGCTTCTTTCATTCCTTAGCACTAAAAAGAAAACGCTTATTTCTTAATAACCCACTGGAGTATTTAATTTCAATTTAATTAAATGGAAAATTCGTAGGTAAAAGCTTCGCTACTAACTTTGGCTAGATTCATAGGTAAGCAATTTAGTAAAATAATTTCGGGCTATTATTTTAAATATCAATGTCAATTCATACGTTGCTTTATTTTAATTGAACCATGTCCGGGTTTCATCATATCACCCAAAGGCATTTAAGTAATAACTTGAGTAAATACCTACCATCATTTTTGATTATTCTTTTAATAAAATTAAAAGGAGAAAAGAAGACACGACCATCTGTGATCTAATACTATATCTTACTTACGCTAGATCGTTATAAAATTGTTTAGCTTCCTTAAATAGTGTTTAATTAAATATTAAATATAAAGTATGTTAATAAAAGTATGGTAAATATTTTAATTAAATGTCAATATTGAGAATATAATGCACGACACTCCATGGTAAAAACTCTCTCAGCCTTTATATAGCTTACGACACCTTAACACGGGAAATGTCAGAGAACATTAACTAACGCACCCAACTGGTAGCTTCCTCAATACATATATAAAGCGCTTGAGTAACGCTGGTTTCTCCAAGAATAAAACTTTTAACTCTTTTTATATGTAGAACATGAATGTCATGAAAAATATACACACTATAGATAGAGTTCTTTATCACTCTACTTAGAGTTCATTACAATTTACGCTATTCGTAGCTTGCTTAGGGACATGTTAATTTAAAAACATGTAGAAGGTACACGCCCAGGAGTGTGAGTGCCATTTAAACGTTAGACAAGGCTATAATTTACTCTCAAACTATTGTTCTTCTTATAAGTAAAACATAAACAATAATTATGATAAGAGTATTACTGAGTTCCCTCGAATATGTTATCCGTGCGCAGAGGATCCAAAGGGTACATACATACTTTCGGAAAATAAAAGACGCCTAATCCGATTTTATTAAACTTCTTGCTTTAATTCTCAATTAGGGCGGGTGCGTGTACGCCACGGGGCGTACTAACAAAGGGAGCACAATACGTATACTTTGTACATTTGTGTGTGACATGGCTACGAACAACCGTGCGGAGGCAGAGGCGGGCCGCGGGCTGGAAATTTTGTTTATTTTTCTGCTTTTTAATAAAACGTAAGTACTTGCGACGCGTCGGCAACACAAAGGGAAATATTCATATTCAGTTTCGTTGACGGAATGATTTCGACATGTGCCTTTTAACATTTCGCCATCTTACGTTTTCGTTGTAGCATTTGAGGAATTTATTAATGCGCATTATATGCGGGTAAGTTACAGTTTCGTGAATTGGTTATCATTTGTCTTATTTTTGTCATATCTTTATGGTAGTTTTCAGAACCACCTATAGAAGGGATCCCTGTGCGCCTTCGTTACAAACACCAGTTGACGTGTAGCGTGGAACGTGGGTAATGTGTCAGGTGACAGCTTTAGTATCTTAGCTGCTTCGTGTAGCGGATATGTCGGAGAAAAAAATGACATTGGTCAGGTATCAGCTATGCAACATTCCAAGAAAGTTTTAATGATATCTATATAGGATTTCTCAGAAATGTCTTATTTTGTTGGTACCTAAAATTCATAAACATTTTCTTTTCTTAATAAGCTTTCCTAAAAATTAACCAAAAAAAGTGCAAGTCGGACTCGCGCACGAAGGTTTCCGTACTATTATCTATAAGAATAGCAAAATAAATCGTGTCTGTTCGTATCGGAGCTACACTTAATTTTTTTTTATTCTGTTTGTAGTATTTGCTGTTATAGTGGCAACAGAAATATATCATCTGTGAATGTTTCAACTGTCTATCTATCACTGTTCATGAACCGTATCATTTCATGAGATACAGCCTGGTGACGGACGTACAGACAGACAGACAGCGGTGTTTTAGTAATATGGTCCCGTTTTATCCTTTGGGTACCATAACAAACTAATTGATAACTTCTTATAATTTTTTTTTATAATGTCATTTGTGGACTGACTATGTGTTGAAATTAAATATAGCGAATTAGACTTAATTTTACCGTTTTACTTCAAAATATAGAATATAGCCAGTAGATTGACCTGGAGTGGTTTATGTTTATGATGTATCTGAAGTTAGCGCTTTCAGTCCGTAGATTATTAAAGCTCCATTGAATGGATTTTTTTTGGCTGGATCAACCACTATTGGGCTTGAGGAGCCTTTCCAGATCCCGACTTTAGGTGGCCGGGTGCTCACGACGCTCAGCAAGTACCTCGAATATGGGTTACTAAGTTCGAGGGCTTGGCTTGGGCTATCAATCAATACCCATTTAGCATTCTGATTCGAGGGTGCCTGAGAGTGCCGGTCCTTGGCTCAATCGGTAGCTGTAGTCTGACTAGGGGGATTTCTAAAACTATCGTAATGGGTGGGGATTGGGCACTTTTTTCTGCGAGAATTATGGTGGTCTGGAGGCGTCGATGGATCGTTTCTTATTGGGTCTGACGTATAGAGATAGGTGTCATCAGCAAAGAGGGCAAATGTATAGAGCGTAAAAAGGACTGGGCCCAACATTGACCCTTTAGGCACCCCGACTCGAACGGGATGTGTTGTAGACTACCCCCTAGACGTGATAGAAAAAGATCTGATCACTTAGGAAGTCTAGTAGTATGCATACGTGACGATTTGGCACTCCATACTCGTATAAATTGTATATGGGCTTGTTGTGCCAGACTTTAGCGAAGGCCTTCGCCTCATCGAGTAAGAGGGTTCCGGTGTTAAATTAATATATCCGTTGCTCCGTTATGCGGTGCATTCGGTACATGAATGTTTGGTTCTGAAGCCAAACTGATCGGGAATGGGGAGCCCTCGAGTCCATAAAGGATCGTAAGAGGGCTAAAACTATCCGTTCAAAGATCTTCCCAAACATTGGACGATATGAAGTTAGGATGGTGGCGGATTTCGAGGGTTTGAGGAACCCTGCTTTCTTCCATTCGAACGGAAAGAACCCTTCGGTCAATGCCGCGGTGTAGATAATTTCTAGTTTCTGAATGATACTACCAGGAAGGAATTCGGTCACCTTATTGGGTATTCCATTTACCGCAGGCGCTTTGCGTGGGCGTAGGTTTTTAATTAACTGCTCTACTTCGGTGCACATGACCGGGGGAACGGGATCACCGAGTGGTTCTTTGCTTTCCTTTCAACCTATTCATTCACGGGAAGTGTACGGGTTGACTGGAAGCAGACAAGGGGAACATTGAGACTCTAGGCTGTTACCCAGGCATTCGGCCTTCTCTTCGTCCAGCATTGCTGGCCTACTCATTGGGCGACTTAGCGGTGGCATCGTTCTTATGGGGTTAACCTTGAGGGATTGGGGAGGCTTCCAAAAAGCTTATTGGGAAGGTTTAACAGAAGATATTGCGGAGTACCATCGTTCGTATCCCGAGGCCGCTATGCGTGTTTTCATCTCACGGGACCTGTCTCGATCTAGCTCGACGACGGTGTGGATGTGGCTTGTGAGAGCACGAATTGCGGGCTCCGTATCCCGCTTGTTGTTAATTTCTGCGGGGATTGACTTTAATTGGGACGGATTAATTTCGTTTCGCTTTGATTTCACTCTAATAACTGTTTAGGTTTGGGAAGTGGCTATTGCTGAGGGCACTAGCCGAATTATAACGGTTCTGTTATATGTGAGCGGTACTCGGTTTTGTTCAATCAGGGCTGCAAATGACGATTAGTTTTCAGATAACAGACATTTCTAAATACTGTAAATGTATTTTATGGATAAAGAATTGTCTATTTTTTAACAATAGAGCGTTTTCTATTAACACGCAAAATGATGATAAAAAAGAAATAATATCTTAGGAATTGTGTTTTTTATTAATTTACGGAATGATAACATGAGTAAGAATTATTTTGGATAGTCAATTGAAAAAGTAAGTAAGTAATATCCCAATCTAAGTTTTGTTCTAAAGAAGGTAGTAACCGGTTCTAAAATCAATTGTACTTGGTGGTAACTCTATGGAAAGCAGACGTATTCTTAATCATACGATGCTTTGTGTGCGATGGGCGTCTAATCCGCAGTATCGTGGAGACAAGTTACATTTTACAGGGGAGTATATCCGAAACAAGGGAAACACAAACGATTTGTTACGATGACAAGCGTCGTAGGGAGAGGCTGTCGTGTGTGCTCAAAATTTTGTAATCTAATTCATAAGTTCAATTATCATGGCAGAAGTTTAGATCGTATGAAACGGTTTTATAGGATAGTTTCCGAGAGGAAATGTTAAGTGCAACCGATTTTCAAAGTAGATAAAAAACATATTTTAAGTATATCTCCTAATGGTGAGTGAGTACCGCCATACATGAATAACCGCAACAACGGACTCGCTCAGGTGCTTTGCCAACTTTTAAGTGGGCTTCGGGTAACCTAACTCATTAGGTGAAAGATACAAAAACATACGCCTCACACCACGCCCGAGATTGCATACTTCCCCGGCTATGCCAAGCTAGTTATGCAGAAGCGGCAGCTGGTGCATGGCTTTATCACAGTGAAATTAATTGTCTTCGCAATATTCTCCCAAGAGCGTTCCTTCAATTTAAATTTCCACGTGCATGAGGTGGATGCTGACGGTGAAATTAAATATTAAAATAATTTGAAAAGTCTATATCATTCTGTTTATCTTAATCGTTGTAGTGTGCGTG